CCTACCTGAACTGTGGCCTCTGACCTTGGAAAGGACATACCGGGTTGGATCCAGACAGCGTTTTCACCCATTCTCGCCTGCTTCCCTACCTCACTGGAGCACCTTACCCACCTGGCTTTTTTTACATCTGCAGCCAAAGGAAATCCCACCTTCCTTTTTTACCAACTGAACACATAGCTGGATCGAAGCCACTGCTGAGTGTCAAGATGACTGTGGAACATCCTATGTAACAGAAATGCTGCTCTTGGTGGTTTTTACCGAATACGCATAATTCCTAAAGAATATGCAAAATTCCAGCTTTTTAAGAAATACACAAAGTTCTTTGTCGTGTAAGTGGCATTTGACTCATATGAGAGAGGGAGGGATTCCCTTTCTACACACATGAAATTTGGAAAGCAATATTGATGCAGCAAAGGGTATATGTATGAAGCCCAGTCCTTTCTTAATTACTTACCCTACACCTTTAGAAAATGCATTCTGTCTTGACCGTTGCTTTTAAACTAATCCCAACACCGTCTGAATGCAGTATATTTTTAGACCAAAAAAAAATCCCTTTAGATAAACGCAGGCGATACAGACATGAATCACACAGCCGGTTTAAGAAGATACATTGTTTCTTCTGCTCTACTTGGAAAGTACATGGAAAGACATGGCTAATATTACAGCATCTGGCTAAATAAAGGGAAGTTGGGAAATAAAAGTCTCAGATATAATGAGCTTCTGAGTTAGTGTCTGGGAACTGTTTACTACGCATTCATGAAACAGTTTCATCGCTCACTTGAGGTGCACCACAAAAGACAAACGATGGGGCTCATCTCCTCAGATCATCACCTTGATAAATCTTTTCACTAATGAGATAGTTCAAGACTACTGAATGCCAGACATCCTGTGTGCAGAATTTAAATGCTGAGATAAAACAGACATCTTGAGACTTGGGATTAGATCTTACTACTCTGAATTATAAATGGCTATCAAGAAATTTAACTTCAATGGTTTGGTAATTACAAAAAAAATAAATAAATCAGCTTCTACATAGAATAACACTGCTCCTGGAGATCATGTACTTCCTTGTTATATGCAATACCTCATTGAATTAATCTTCAGTTTAAAAAAAAGTACAACAGAAAAGGAATCAGGAACATGTAGAAAAACCTTTAAAACTGGTTTTGGTGTATAATTTGTAACTCAGTGTCAATGATGACTAATACAAACAATAATTATGTAATCTTTCTTTGTTTTCAACTTACCGCTGGCATTCCGCAGCATGCAGAACTAGATCTTCGTTATTCTTTGCGCTAATTGTGAGCTCATGTTCTGTAGCATTGAACACATCAAGTAGAAGATGGCACTGACGGGTACTGTTGGAAGAGATTGAAAGATGGTGTTATTTAATGACAATCTTAATTTCAAAAGATCTCTTGACCTTTTCCTTATATTGGGTTTTGCAAGATTTTTTTTTTTTAAGTTGACTAGATCATGATCAAGTTTCTGCACAGAATCAATTATGAGAATGGATGTGGGGGGGGGGGAAACCCAGAATGCTTGCTTTTTTTTTCAGATCAGTTAAGGAGATTGGAATCTGTTCAGCAACCCTTAACTCTGATGGAAAATTCATAGCCAGACCAAGACATCGCCTAGCTTGAGGTCCATCTTGTAGAACAACCTGCCTGAGGTCAGAAAGGTTCCCACAGCTCTATCATTCAGCAGAACTGGCATAACAGAAATGTTTGGGAAGGCTTTTTAAAAACAGGATTAGAGCTATGATGTAATGGAATGGTCCAGGGAGGCAGCTTTCTAGGGGAACAGGATTGTAGTCTGTTACAAGGTTTATTGCATCCTGCCTTCACGGCACTGTCTTCTTTTGTGATGCACATCTGCATTTTTACAGTATGTCATGTCTTGGACTATTTTCCCCCCCATTTGCTTTGTTTTCTAGTTCCACAATCCTACTCCTACTTGATCTGGATGGCCAAGGGCTAGCCTGATCTTGTCAGTTCTCGGAAGCTGAGCAGGGTTGACCCAGGTCAGTATTTAAATGGGAGACCACCAAGGAAGTCCAGGGTCGCTACACAGAGGCAGGCAATGGCAAACCACCTCTGAACGCCTCTTGCCTTGTAAACTACAAGGGGTCGCCATAAATCAGCTGTGATTTGACAGGACTTTCTGCCACCAGGTTAACTAAAATGTACGGGAATTGCCATCGGATATGCTAGAAATGGAGATAGGATGTTCCGTTTCTAAGCACCGTTGGTGGATGCATGAGAAAGCCAAATAATTGTAATTGTAATTCTTGTAATTCTATTTTTGAAATTACATTTACCTTTATCTTCCATTTGCTAACCTGTCTCGAAGGCACCGTTCTTAATAAGCAGAACCCGTTTCATCTTGTACCAACACCAACTTAAAACACTGTGGTCAACAGCCTAGTAAAACTCAGGCTACGATGGTAGCTGAGTATCTTGGATGCTGTGAATGCCACCATCGTCTATGAATGGGACTATCACTTTATATGTTTTATTATTATACTGTCGTGGTTTTATTGAATTCTGTGTTTTAGTTGTTTTAATTCAGGGGTCCTCAAACTACGGCCCGGGGGCCACATGCGGCCCACCGAAAACATTTATCCGGCCCGCCAGGTGTTTTTGCCACTGTCCTGTCCATATGCTGCCCAGCACAAGGGGCCCTGGCGAGCGGTAGGGGCGCCATTTCCCTCGGCGCGGCGCTGCTTCCACTTTCCAGGGCCGCAAAAGTTTGCTTTTCTCTCCAACCGCTGGGGACCTGCCAGAGGGCCAGGAGCACTGACAGCCAGGCCGGCACGCCCGCTCTCCCTTCCCAGGGCTTGGGCGAAGGTTCCCAGTGCCAGGCGAAGGTTCTGTCCCTTTCCCCTGAAACTGTCCACGGGCTAAGGAAGAGAGACGCGAGGCTCTGCCGGCGGCAACTCCAGGCTGCTCCGCTGGCTTGGGAGAAAGTCCGTCACTTCCCCTAAATACAGGCCTGGGATCGGGGTGTCAGACCACCACCACCACCTGCACTTCCATGCCACATCCACACAATCACGCCCTGCCTGGAATAAATCCCCCGACGTGGGTTTCCTGCACGCAGACCGGCCATGTGTGCATTGCAACCATGTGTGAATGAGATTCGGGAGGGTAACAAATCCTGGCAGAGTTCGGCGCCTCCTAATCTGGGCTCCCTCCAGAATAACCTCCTTTGTCTTCTGCTGCCGTCTGCCGCACAGCCATGCTTTTGGGGCAAAAGCCCTGGTCAGCAACTAGGAGGCCACTGTGGGAAGGGAGCGCCAGCCGCAGAGGGCCAGCGTCTCACCCTCTCTCCGCCGCCCCCCACGCCATGAGACCTGCTGGCAAGACTTGTC